CTGCTTTCATTCGGTAAGGCACCTTTTATGGAGTTGACTTTTTAAATCACTTTTTTTGTATCTTTAAGGCCTTGAAAAGGGTGCATTTCCTAAGTAGTTACAAAGCCATTTTCTTAAAAAGAATTTCAAATGTACATTGTTTAATAATCGCATCCTGACATACTATTCATATAAGTTTGACATAAAATTACATAGGTCTACTGGCAAGGTATTCGATATGCGTGTACTAAGTACAAGAAACACATTCTTAAACAACCTTTTTAAACTATCTATGGCACATAGTCTAAAGTGCATTGCTTGTTAAACAATAGGGAACAAAGTAAAGCACAAGCAGCTGGATTTAGTCTCATAATAAACCATAGGTATGTTTTGGCGTAACATACTGTAACACCAACCATTGTCTTCTCCCATTCCCCTTTTGGTGCACCTGGAGCATTGGCATTTAAATCACTGATTCAGCAGATTGGATAAGTGATAGTGTTGTTTTAAAAAAGCAAAACACCAATACATTTTGATTATGGCAGAATATTTTGTTAGATAAAAACATGTACATTTCAGCAATGATCAAATCACACAGTTATGGAAAATGTTTGGATCACACAAGTGAGAAAACATTTATACACGGCCACCACTGGAATCTAATCCTACAAAGGGTTTCACACTATCATACTAATCATTTCAGTATAGCCTTATCTTTATGTGCAAATATAGGCCTACAAATAAACAGGTTTAAACAGAATAAATGGACATGCAGGGGAAAAAATGCAATTCAAAAAAGCATTCAAATGTTGATCCAGAATTCAAATGTCAAAATTATGAATGAAGCTCGTGATCAAGCTTCAGGCATTACGTAATGCATAGAGACTGCATCTGTTAGAATGACGTGTGGAGGAAGGCTCTTAAGTGTTACACATGTGCTGTTAGTCTAGCAGTGATCTTTCTGGTCGCAGAGGTTGTGCACTTAGAGCTTCTTTATGTTTATTATATTTTGAATTGTCATTTTCCAAGACTCTTAAACTAAGGACAGTTACAGTATAGTAAAGGAGTTCCATGCAAGGCCTTACTACCTTTTCCAAAATCCAATTCAATGATTGAGATAGCATTGTTTTTTTGTTGAAGGTTATGTAAAACTAAAAATGTAAAGTTGTCAATTGAAGCTACCATTCATGATACGCGATTTGTTCTTTGCTCACTGCGAGTTTGGACTTTGTGGAGAAAACAGCTACAGTAGTTGGTTTCTTTGGTTACCGCCCCTGCTAGCTTGCGCAACTACGACCAGCTGCGCTGTACTTTGAGCGCGGCAACAATTTTGAACGATTCCCGACACCGAGGCCTAATCAGGCAGCATAGCTGTCTCCATGGAAACGCACTGTCATGTCAGCGCATGAGCCTTTTTTTAACCACGTATCACGTGAATGATGCTTTAGATTTGTATTCTTTTATCTTTTTTTAAGATCATGAGGAAACCCTTGACATGATCAAGAAAGGACTGTACGATGCATTTACTTTAGTCTTGTTTAAAGGTGGGGTAGGTAATTTTGGAGAAACCAGCTCGAGATCGCTAGATTTTGAAAATACACAGCCGGAAAAAATCTGCCACTTCCTTACAGAGCCCCTCCTCCAACACACACGAACGCGCACATGACCAATGAGGGCACGAGATAAGTTTGTGCCCCGATGGAAGGCTGACAGGCAGGTAGGCCATCCAGTTATTTTAGCCGGGCCGGCTAAAATGATTGGTCGTACTTTTTACAGTATTACGGCTTCCACAGATGACATTTTTTTATGGATTTTTTGTCAAAGCACTTCAGATATTTATTGCTATCAGGATGTAAAGAGCATTCCATGGAATATAACAAAAAGTGTATCTCGAGCCGGTTTCTCAAACTTACCTACCCCACCTTTAAGTATTAATACAAGTTGAAACTGAATTTTCTCTGCATGAGCTTGGATACATGAGAACAGCCTTCACAGAAGGCGTTCAGATGAAAGCAAACATTAGATATTCTGCCACTGCAAATTCAAACAGTATGACAGAAAAACGTTAATTTAACATGTTTACTTCTTCCACAACCCGTTGAGTTATGTATGAGCCCTCTTTTAAAGTGTGTATCGTACAATTTAGTTATTTATTGGACATTAGGAAACAAGTTTTTCCAACACATGTGTTCATTACATGTCACGTTATGATGGCAACAAAACAAATGAATTAAATACAAGAAAATGCCTTGTATAAAGGTAGGCTATATGTAGATTTGGCAATTGTAAAAACTGTTTCCTCTCTACTCAATTGGTTTTCTGCATCTTGTGTAGTTGAGATCGAAATAAAGGCGTAGGTAAAACATTCGTGTGGTCTCCCCCACACACGTTATGTCCCTCGCCAAATTTGCTATCATGACTTTACAGTCATGATAGCAAATTGATAGCATGCCATCGCATGATAGTCTCTCGTTCTTTTTTTATATAAAAAGGTTTATTGCTAAAGGAAACACAAGACAAAATAGCCAGCAAAGCAGAAGAAAGAGAGATGATTACCGGATAAAGAAAATGATGATGAAAAAAAAATGATTGGATTTAAAAGATATGAATTTCATTTCTAATAAAACTTTTTTTTGTTTCCCATTTCATATATTTCAAGTACAAGATATTTTCCTTTTGGGTTTTTATATTTTAACCACTGTAATGTGTGTATTGCTGATGATAGGAATTATAAGAATGTTTCTCTTTGATCTTTTCTGATATCCTCACTAGAGGATAAGTGGGTTTTTATTTAGAGAAATACCAAAAATACTTCACAGATCTGTAAAAGACATTTAGAAGCTATGGCTCATCAACATATGACTATGGTTTGTCTTCTGCTCACTTCACTCTATATCAGGGGTCTCCAACCTTTCTTCATCTGAGAGCTACTTTCAAAAAATGAAAGTGGCCAAGAGCTACTTGCATCACATCGCTTACATTTATTCACATAGCCCTCATCAGTTGAATTAAGCTATACTTTTGTACACGTGTGAAATTGCAATACCTAAAGCTTATCAAAAATAAGGTCCAAGAAAACGTGTGATTTCTCACATATTATTATGGCCCACATAATAAGTACATCACTGAACATTCACATAAGTGTCCTTAATCACCACCTTACAAGCATTTCACTCTTTTGTTAGTGAGATTAATGGCACTGCATACAGTCCACCATAGAGGTGTATGCTGGACCCACTTAGGTTCACTTAATAGAGTCATTTAAATGTTCATCAGTCGGTCTTGTTCTGTATTTAGATTTCATTCATGTCAGAAAAAGCTGCTTCACAAAGGTATGTAGAACAGAACCAAATAAAGCAGACATTTTCAGTGCTGCTTGGTGAATGTTCTTATAGTTTTCTGGGTCTACAAGGCTCCAGAAATGTTGTGAGTTTTGCTGAGACTTAAGCTGAACATTATTTTGGAGATCTCCACAGGATTGACACTGAACAGTTGTTCAGCCATCTTTTTCTTCTTCTTCTTCGTCTTGACATTAAATTATAAACCATAATAAATCAATTGTATAGGTCTAGCCTCCCTATATCTGTGTGTGAAAATGGTTCCATCCTCAAAAACAAAAAACTAATACTTCTGCAGTCTAGCTGCAGCTTCTAGCTACGGTCTTCTGTTAAAAAAAAGACACACATGACTTGAGTCTGAAAACAGCAGGAGTATTTACAATAGCATTATAAAAACAAAAATAGTGCATGTGGGTGCACACTTACATTCTCTGTCTTACTGTTACATAAATCCCATGAATGTATGAGATTAAGTTAGCTTCATCATATCTCAATCAGTGATTAAGTGAATATATAAAGTTTCTATCGGGTCACTATCAGCCTGTCACTCATTATTTTCAGGGAGGGGGCGGGGTTTGGAGGAACGGAGAGGAGACGGTGATCGCGGAAGCTTTCCTCCTGCCTTCACAAACTTTACACAAGTATTTATCAACTGAAAATAGCAAGAGGACATTCATACTCTGCAATCCAAGACTTGATTAAATCCACCAAAAACCTGACATGACGATAACGAGTGTTTTTCAAAAAACACAAATCCCTCCCTGTGTGTCTCTGAGGCGCAGCGACAGGGCCTGATTCAGAGCGGGTCATTCTGCTGTTGGTTCTGGACTGGTGCTGGTGGAGAAAGCAGACTGCTCCGTGTGTGTTGTCGCTGTGCTGCTGTCACGTCTGTTCCTTGATCTCTGCGTCACCGACCATTTGATATTCGTGTGACAGAAAAAAATCTAAAATAAAAAAACGTTATTGTCCAACCGCGGCCGAAAAATCAATAAGCAACCTTACTACGCTATAATCGATAATCGAGCGGCGAGCTACTGAAAAGCTGCCCGCGAGCTACCGGTAGCTCGCGATCGACGTGTTGGAGAGCCCTGCTCTATATCTAGCATCTTGAAGTTCTTTGTACTTACTCTGAATGTGGGGTGTCTTGAAATGCATATGGCTTGTAATCTTACTGCTTTCTTTACAATCATTTAAGTTATTTTATGTTAACATGTATTAAGCATGAGCATATTATATCTTCCTCTCTTGACATGATTGTTTGATTTATTTAATAAGGGGCATGTACATTAGCACAGCAGTATAGTGTTTAGAGGATGGTAGAGAGGGGGGGTCTTGTTGTAGACATGCACCTGCTCATACTGTCCCTTAATATGCAGTTTGTTTATCCCTCGATATATTATTGTGCAATGCTTTCATTGACCGTGATTGTTTGATGGTATACAATTACACACATGCATGCTCACAGACACACACGCGCCACCCCCACCACATCATGTTGAGCTTTCACCCCCCAAGGACACTGGGTGATAAAAGCTCAGGAGCACTTAGCACTGGTCCGGTGGCCGCACAATAACGCAGGAGCGCACATCTCCGTAACCGGAGCGCACGGCGGATGGGTGGATCCAAGATGACAGCAGCATCTTCTCTCTGAATCCTCATTCATTCGCCTCTTGATAGCTTTACCAACCTCTTCTGTGCTTGTAAAAGGCTGCCTCATGCGTGCTCGGTACAACTGTGGACTCCCTCGTGCGCCCTCGCTTCTCCATATGGGTTGAGAGTCAGCAGCACCGAGACCGGATGTTCACGTCCCGCGGTGCAAACTTCGGGCTGATGCAAACTTCACGGCTTTGCCCGGTATGATCGTTTGCAACTTGAACCTTAGCTGTGCGCAATCTCCAGGTGGAGGAGCCGGTGGCACGGCAGTGACGCAGGTGTACGAAGAAGTGTCCGGTTCTCTCGCTCCTCCATCCCTGAGCCCAAAGGGTCACCTGGTGGTGGCGGTGTGCCTCGGCTTCATCGGCATCTTCGGGTTCCTCAGTAACTTTCTGGTGCTCACGCTGTTCTGCCGGTACCGGGCTCTGCGCACGCCCATGAACCTCTTGCTGGTGAGCATCTCAGCGAGCGACCTGATGGTGAGCGTGGTCGGCACCCCGTTCAGCTTCGCAGCCAGCGTGCAGGGGCGATGGCTGATTGGACGCGCTGGGTGCATTTGGTACGGGTTCATTAACGCATTTTTAGGTAAGTAGCTCTTTGCGTTATCTGGCGCATGTGTCACTGGATTAAGTTTTTTTCAACAACGAGTTTCACCTTTACATCCGATGTTATTATTACTCGTCACTTCTAACAGTTTTAAAATATCAGGTTCATGTTCCCTTCTTTTCTGTAGGCTACACAATAACTCTGGGCTAAATGCTGCTAAAAGTGGGAACACCATATTGTCATTTCGACACCATGCAAACATATTTCTAATAGTCACAGCTTTCCATTAGTTCATAATGAATACATAATATTTAAATGCAGGGTTTCCCGGTTTCTTGCTGAAGCAGCTTGCAGGACTCATGAGCATAACGAAAATAACTGCAGCAACTGGCAACATGAAACTAACCCAAAACAGTATTAACTCGATTAAAACCCTGCAATTTAATTCTGCAGCTAATTCCCGTCACAATCCTATTAAGGTTGTGTGGCGTCACTACTGGTTATGTTCAGTTTGCAGCCTGCAAACTGAATATCCTGCGGAACTTACATTATTATATAATATGCTATTAACGTGTCATAATTCAATTTTTTTCCTCCGGATATAACTTTTAATGGGAAAGAAATTGAAGCAGAGGAGATGGACAAATTGTAAAACATAGAAAAACGAGTTTCTGCTTATATTACATAATACATCTGATCTGTTCAGCTCTTGACTCGATCCCTGGAGGTTGTGTCATGTCTCTAAATTTGAAGGACTGTTGACAGGGCTCTTCATCAGTGCTGGGATCAAACCTGTGACATCTGATTTTCAGGACAATTATTGTAATTACTGCCAAAGCTTGATTAATGTCAGAAACTAAGATCTCTTCTCCTTCTCATCTTTCTCCTTTACTTTTGCGTGATGTTATTCCTCTTGTATCCTTTTTGTAGTCTTCTCACCTGAAGCAAGGTGTTGTTGCTCTTAAATTGGTTGTTTTCTCTTGTGAGTGTGGACTTGCAGCAAGGTATTGTTTGTCCTAAATGAAGTCTGGACTTCTTGGACTCAGGTGTAGTTACTTCAAAATAAGTGGTTTACTGTATGGAGTGTGGCTTGCAGTAACATACCATATTCACACTTCGATATACTGACAGGGTTTTCAATCCTTCAACAACACACTGACATTCACTGTAGAAGGACATGCACAATTTATATCAATTTAGCAGTATATGGAAAGCCTGTGTACTTTCAAATTTCTCTGTGCAAGTTTAGAATAAACAAGTATCAAGCAATAACATGGCGGTGGTGGCGAATTCCATAGGGACTTGGCTTGGCAACTGCAAGGTCACCAGTTCAAGTCCCGGCACGACCAAGTGCTACCGAGGTGTCCCTGATCAAGGCACCGTTCCCTACACTGCTCCCCGGGCGCCATTAATAATGGCAGCCCACTGCTCCTAACACTATGGGTCAAATGCAGAGAAACCATTTTGTTACATAATACCTGTACTGTGTAATGACAATAAAAGTGCAACAACAAAAAAAAGAAAAACATCAAAACTGTACGAGACAGGGTCAGGCTCGCTGTGGAAAAATACCTGAATAAGATGCTTTGAATATTTAATTCTTGGCTAGGCTGATCATTTCCTAGCCCACTAGCATGAAATATTCATGTCAGAACTTGGTCAGAATTCCGAAATGTGTTTTGAAAACAAGACGCGGCTTGATTCACATTGTTCTCTGGCTTATTGAGATACTTTAAGCAATCCTAAAAATAATGTAGATGTACACTCGCTAGTCAAGAACACGTAATATTAATTATACTTTGATCAACAAAAAATGTGAGTTACCTTTTAAGAGCAGAGTTACATTTGATCCTTTCTCCACTGTGCAGAGTTCGAACTAAGTTGTGTTTTAACTGGAAAAAACTGCCTGAGGAGAAGACCTAACTTGAGTTGCATAGTATCTTCAGAGTGCACAAGTATCTCTGTATTTATATATTTTATGCATTAGCCGAGCAAACGTTTTGTAAGCAAGTGGCTTCTCAGAGTCTCTTGTTGATGTTTTTGTTTTACTAGAATGAACTTTTCGGGATCGTTTAGAGTTCACCAAGTTACATTTGAGACTTTTAAGGAGAATAGATTGCAGTATATTAGGATATGTTCAACACACCATGGCCATAACAAAGCAAAATAATAACACGTTTTAAAATCAAGCAACCATAAATGTTACCGGTAATGCATAAGGATTCATATTTTTTTGAATTCAATTTATTTCAAGTTTAAAACCACAATTTCAAGACTTCCCTTGCGGATGTCCAGCCATTTACTGATTGATATGGTAATAGGAATTGACAGTCTGTTCAGTCAGTCAGAATGAATACACAGTATTACTTACAGGAGAAAAATAGATTGATCTATTCAGGTTGACAGGTCTTAAGTGAAAACAGAACTTCTCATTTCACCCTGGCCTCGACTTGCAAGGTGAAATACAGGCATTTTGTTAATTCACTAGTAAGAAACTGTCCATCCTGCTGCTTTGATATCATATAGGCCTAGCTTATAGTTCTACAGCAATCCAACCTCATCATGCGGTGTGGAGCAACAGGTGAAGGTAAAAGTAAAAGGAGGATAATATCTAAAAGAAAGAAAGATGTATGAGTTGTACATCTCAACTGGCATACATAGAAGCAGGACACATTGAAACAGGAGAAAGAAGGAATACCTGTATGCAGGAAATCTGACAATGCCATTACAGTACATGTGTCATAGTACACTGTCAAATTCTTGTAAAAGTAGCAGGACAGTTCTATTATTTCTCACCCATAAGCTTATTGTGGAGCTACAGCTTGTATGTGACATTTTTACCACTCTTTATGGTGTTAAGAAAAATCAGGCCTCAGGTGATAAATCCATTAAAATGCATGTTGGAAAATCAAAGTGGGCCTTGTGTGAATCAAAGCCAATGTCAGGGACTAATAAATTCCCCCGAATCCCTACCAGGCTCAGAAGAGAGAGACTGTTCAATCATTACAGGAAATGAATAGAATGAAATTGTTGTTAAGTGCAGTTTTCTTGGTTTTTGGGGTAGCAGACTATTAAAGATGTATAGACAGATTGAAATGACGACAGACGGACAGAAGGACATACACATAGACAGAAGGATATATAGATTAAATATGTATTAATCCAGCTAGCGAATAAGAAAAAGTGGTTTAGAAAGGTTCCTAATTTAGTTAAATTAAGTAAGTAATCTAAGTGGCCGAAATAAAAAGAGATGATGCTGTCTAACAATTTGTGTATTGCTGTACCATTCTGCTGTTCACATATACAACAGATTTTCATCGTTGGCAAATTAAGATGTTGTAAATTAACAGGAGCTTAATAACCATTTCCGTTTTATGAAAAAACTTGCTAAATGCTTTGCTTAACTTTCGAAATTATGTTAAACCCATTGGCGAAATAACTTTTGTAAAATTATAAAATGAAGACAAGATTTAAATTGGTGTTTTATTTATTTATTTAAATGATTGACCCATAAAACTATGGCATCGTTATTACGTAGCCTTTTTCCTGATGAAAAGTCCTGATTAATTCTCCCTCACATCTTTCCTCAACCTCAGGCCTTTTCTCATCGAAGTCAAGAAAGAAAAAAGACATTGGACCTGATCCTATAGCTATAATCTTTCAGGTGTTACCTTTGGTTATCCATTGACCCATTTCTGAGCATTGTCTCCCACTGCTTACCTATCGATAGTCGTTGTTACCATAGAGACCACACTTACACTCACCGGGCGGCCGTGGCTCGGGAAAACTAGGTAATTTTCCATTAGTCGGAAGTTTGAGCGGTTTGATACTTGGGAAAGATATAGAACCCCAAATTGCTGCCCAAGGCATACTGTAGCCGTCCATGTTTGTGAATGAGCATTCGATAAGATTTAATTCATTTGTACACCTTGGCAGCCCTCCTATCAGTGTATGAATACATGTGTTAAAGGGTAAATGTTGTAAAAGTGCTTTGAGTGGTAAAAGTGGACAAGTAAGGTGCCATATTAATGCAAGACCATTTACAGACTGCACTCTCTGATGAATAGAGCCTATATACAGCTCTGAAAAAAATAAGAGATCACTGCACCATTGTCAGCATTGTCAGTTTCTCTGGTTTTACTATTTATAGCTAGGGGTTTGAGTCAAATTAACATTTTTTATTTTATTCTATAAACTACTGACAACATCTGTTTGTGTTGGAATTCAACAGACACTGGAATTGAATGGCTGCCATAGATTGAAATTTAAGAAAAACTTGGAGTGGTCTCTTCCTTTTGTGTGTGTGTGTGTTTGTGTGTGTGTGTGTGTGTGTGTGTGTGTGTGTGTGTGTGTGTGTGTGTGTGTATGTGTATGTGTGTGTGTGTGTGTGTGTGTGTGTGTGTGTGTGTGTGTGTGTGTGTGTGTGTGTGTGTGTGTGTGTGTGTGTATTCACTGCAGTTGCCACTTCTTCTGTTTATAATTCAGTCTTAAAACTCTGATATGTAAGACTTCAAAATGTTCTCACTTTGGCGACTCCCAGTGGTGGTATATATTGGGCCAATCTCTCTTATGAACTACCTATTCTTCCTGAATATTTTAAAATTAATTGGGGACATTATTTGACTTGTATGTCTTTTTACTCAATGTTTCTTTGTAACCTTCTGTGATTGTATGTTAATGAAAATATCTCATTAGGCGCGTTCGCACCAAGTACTTTTCCCACAATAGTTCATGAGAACTCAGTTCATCAGAACTCTTTTAGTTCTGATGAACTAAAGCAGATCGCGTTCACACCGAAATGAGTTCCTGGGGGTGGATTAGACAAATGAAGCCGCTGACGTCACTTGACCAAAAAATGAGCTTTATTTAACCAGAGAGCTTTTGTAATGAATTCAAAGGGCTCTTACTCCCACTTCAACCACCTACAAACACACGCACACACACACTCTTTCATTTCAATTATTCTCAAGACTCTCACCCTCTGTGGTTGCTTTCAACACATATAGTATGCCTGACCTGTCCACAACAAACCTGCCACGGTAACAGCCAAACAAATCCATAATTATGCATAGAGGTTCTGCAATTTTCTGTAATCAAAGTCCTTGTCCCTTGAAGACTCAGTGAAATGGAGGTAAAGTGCCCCCGGGGCACTTTACCCCGTATGTGCTGATTAACACTGATTTAAGACTTCACTTCAGCAACAATTCACTGCAATAAAAGGTTTGTACAGGTGTCTGCCTCTGCTCCCAGTCAAATCAGTTACAATGTGAACAGATTATAGCCACCGATCACTGAGGAATTAAGCGAGATAAACATTATCTCCCAATTTTAATAACAGTTGATGAAAAAATAACAATTCAGTATAGAGAGGCGAAGTCCCGCCCATCTACTTCCGACCCATGGGACCTTATTTCGGAAAAATTATGCATTGAAGTCAATGGGGAGAGAAAGATTATCTTTCGATCCCGTTTGAATTGTGCCACAAATTACACATATGATGTTTGTCAATCTTAAATAATAATTTCCATGTCAAAAAAGTCACAGTTTGTCGTAAAACTGTTGAAATATAAGACTATGAAAAATACGCAACTAGAAAGACTACAAATCCCAGAATCCCGGTCCCGCATGCTGGCTCTTACGGAACCGACTAACTCCCCTTTTGTGTATGTACAGCTCTCAACATGCCCAGACTTGTAGTGATTTTCACCTCTTTTAATACTTTTCGCCTCATTCTGAAAGAAAGAAGTGAAATGTGACGGCCGTCTTGGTGTGTGGTGCGAGACGGGAGATGTAGTTCATTTAGCGGTTCACACAAAAAAAAGTGTTACTTCACAGTTTTACGACACATTTTTATTTTTTTGACTTGTAAAATTATCTTTTAAATTGACAAACATCATATGTGTAATTCGTGGCACAATTCAAACGGGATCGAAAGATAATCTTTCTCTCTCCATTGACTTCAATGCATAACTTTTCCGAAATAAGGTCCCATGGAGGTCCACCGGAAAGGGAGGGACTTCGCCTCTCTATAATTAATGTTATATAATGTATAATGTTTGAATATAACTTTACATCTAATTAGAGCTAAAGAAAACGAACAAAAAGTGTTAAGATGTTTGATTAAGTCATTTCCCCAGCAAAACGTTTGATGGCACCAGGTTCTTAAGTAAGAATTTGCTGAACTTAAAGAACAAATGGCATACTTCTCTAAACACAATAGTTGGCCACACATATCAGTTTTTCAAATGTGGTGACTAATTCTATTTAGCATTTATGTTTGTTTTTTTTAATCCAAAATGGATGCTAGGAAGAACTATCTATGCAAATAAAATGAAGGAAAAAAGTAAACATTAACAAAAACATTCGGATGAATTGCAAATTGAGGCAAACACATATCTGCAATTTATTTTTTCATTTATTTAATCAACATTTCTGTACATTTGCCAGAGTTAGCCAAGAGGACAGGACAGCTTTTGTAAGTCAACCTGAAGACAAATTTCATTTTAAACAAGTAAATGCAATCAAATAAAAACATGCAACATACAGTACTGGAAATCTTAATATATCATAAGCTGGAACCCATAAATGTTCAAGAGGCGAAAGAATATAGACTCAGTTTCTTGTTTTGTTTTACCCCTCTCTCAGGCGTTTTCTCCCTGATCTCCCTGGCCGTTCTGTCCTACGAGCGCTACTGCACCATGATAAAGCCCACCATCGCTGACGGCAAAGACTTCCGCCCAGCGCTTGGAGGGATCTGCTTCTCTTGGCTCTACTCTGTGGCCTGGACTGTACCCCCACTGCTGGGCTGGAGCAGATATGGGCCCGAGGGTCCTGGCACCACCTGCTCAGTAGACTGGAGGACTCAGACGCCAAACAATATCTCGTACATTGTCTGCCTGTTCACCTTCTGCCTGGTCCTGCCCTTCAGCGTTATTCTCTACTCCTACGGCAAGCTGCTGCACGCCATCAGACAGGTGCGAGTATGCAAATGTACTTCTTACAAAGTCCTTTTGTTAAAATATGTTGTATTTATGAGTGATTCAAATTCAACCCAGCAGTGCATTCCCTAATATTTGACCTAAGCTGATCCACTTATGTATCAAAAGCCTCTAGCTAGTCTAAATATTTCATTCAGGGCTGTGAAGTTTACAAAAGAAATGGAGCCATGTATCAGCTGCTCTTTCAATCTGCCATCAGATTTACCGCCTCAACAAAGTTGTCTATTAAAGCTGCTTACACCAGTGAATTATTTCAACATCTGTTTTGAACTGTTGCTGTCTCTTAGAGATTCCCCTGTGAGATTTTTCTCAAGTGTTGCTAGCATTCTTCTTGTATGTGATGTAAACCTTGATGCCAGACGACGCACAAGAGAGGTTAGGATGATAACCATATTTTCCTCACATTGTTTCTTAACTGATAAAATGTTGTGTCTGCTTCTCTCAGGTATGTTCTGCAAGATTTATTTTTAAAACTTTAATGGTGGCACTTGTATTATCCAAATAGTTACAATACATGTAATACATGTCAAGATGCAGTTTGTAGGTGAGTACAAATGCTTGCTTAAACATATTGTCTGTACATGTATTGCATGTATGGTAGGGTTTAATCTTGAGATAGAGTTGGCAAGCAAGAAAGAACATAATCTAAAATGGTATTTGTTGTACAAAAGTGAAGAAGTAGTCCAAGTGAGCCTTAACCTCTTAAGCACGGCGGTCGGACCCCTCCCACCGTTTTTTTTTCGAGATAATGTCTCAGGGCTTCTTAACATTTATGAAACTATTAATGTGTAGCACCAGATTAACGGGAAGAATCTCAGCTAACTGAAGATATGAACCATTTTTACCAAAACAAAACACAAGTCTCATATAGCGTCTAAATGACCCCTGAGCGAAAAAATTCTAACGCACTGCGGCACACAATTCAAGATACCCTTATTACTTATCGTAGCTGCACATACAATATAGCCGATTAAAGCTGAGACTCCACTGATTATTTAGGTATAGTATCATCACTGAGCGATCCGAACTTGCGACAGGGGAAGCAAACACAGACATCACAACACGTACCTTTACGGAGCTTTTACGGCAGATCGTCTCACCGTAGCTGTCAATTAGGTCAAAAGACGTGTTCAATGGCATTAAAACGAAAAAGAAAAAAATGCTACAACTGTTGATCCATAGGTTGATAATGTACCTGTGCCTTTGAAAAAATTATTTATAATCCATAATTCCATTTTTTATGTAAAAATCGGAGCGGAAAAGTTAGCTGCTAATGGTAGCCACCAGAGTGTATGCAGCTTCCGGTTTTGGTAACGCGTCACTCTCACTCCTTATTTGTTAACGTTTTGGTGTGTATATAACTTTCCCTCGATTCCATTGGCTCTAGCGGTTATAAAGAGATTTCATTCATCAAAATCGAGCAAGGGGGGCCAGAGATAGGTCAAATCCACCCAAATGACCCCAGAAGTGGGGGTTTTTGGCTAAATCTCTCTAAAAAGGTCAAATGTCACTTGTTTTGCATCAATCTTGATACAGGGTACTTATTATATGTTGTACTTTGGATTCCTAAAGCTTTTAGTCTACTAACCCATCATCCAAGGGTAGTTTTAACTATAAGTAAAAAAGAATTTTTGGACAGACACTATAATTTACAGTTTTTTACTATGTAAAATCTGAATTTTCTTTAAAATAAAAAACATCTATATTGATTCTGACTTTTCTACATCCAACTCACAGGTTTATCATTACTTTGATAAAATAAATTATTAATTTAACCCTTTTAGAAGGGAAGATATGGTCATCTGTTCTGGGAATGTCATTTTCGAGCCTGAGACCTGAAAAACAGGCTCAGGGCTTAAGAGGTTAAAAAGGATCCATGGCAGCCTTAATTGAGAGCTTGGGTGTTTGGACTTTTCCTTTTCTTTACTTGCTGGACGTTGACTGTGATTTACTGCTATTCCCTTCTACACCTTATTTGAAATGCCTCACAATTTCTTGCCACTACCGTTTACAGAGAGCTCTCCAGGCTGATGTTATGGAGCCTGGTCCAGGCACAGCACTGTTTGTTTGATAAGCATGAGCTGCATCACTCAGGCTTCACTTTCAGTTGGTCATCAGTAGCTGCTTGGCTACCAGATGACGAGTACAGCGAGTCACATTTGTCATAGTCTGGCTCACCGAATGTAAACTGTGTGGTATAAGCCTGCCATGTTTTTGGTCATTTGTTTCAGTACAATACCTTGTTTTTGCACTAACTCTTCCCTTTAAAGTTCTGCCCATTGTGTAAATGATTAATTTTTCACACGGCATCTATGTCTGTAAAGTGTTGCTTTTGTTGAGTTTAGGGTTGCCTTTGTTTGTGGCCATGAACCACACTCTATGAGAGCTAGGTGCTGATGTGTTGGTGCTGTTTGCACAATCATTTACTTTGCCAAAGCATTTGCTGGTTCATGGGCCATGCCTTTGTGGGTTTTTGCAATGCCTGAAAGCACCCTGAACTTTTTTGGAGCAAGGTCCCAATTAAAGTGTATTTCAATACAATGTTAGTGCTCACTAGAAGGTGGAAAAGAACATTACACAAATGGTTGTTGCATTTGTACCATTTTCCCTCCCATGACTGTTTTGGAAAAACATTAAATCGTGCACTACTTGTGTTGTGCTGAAAATACAACAATATTAATCCGTTTTGGCCACACTAATGCTAGCACTTAGAACGTCCTCCTAATTTGGCTAGCTGCAGAAGAATGACACCCACAAGCTATCTTAAAGTGACAATGGTAGACCCTTTTGCCATGCCATATGAGGATGAAGTATTGCACAACGTATTGGTTCTTGGAATCTTTATAACATTCTCACATAGATTGATTCCGACTCTACAATGCATTTCAGGTCTCTGGCAGGTCCAGTTTCCCTTCACAATAAAAGCCCTAGACAGATATACACAGCATCACTGCCTATCATATAGCATTTTGCTTAGAGACAACTCAAATGTAACTGTGCAAAAGAGCCCTGTTGATGGAGAAGGCAAAGAAAGGTGAAGATAAAGAGAGATTTAGAGAGTGACAAAAACATTTATTTCTACTTAGCTACATCAGTAAGTCTATTTTTGTATTACTAGGTGTTTTACTCTGCCTTTATCATAGCACTGAGAGAGTGGTTTCTAATTATTTGGGATTCTTATTGTAGTGTCTTTGATGAGTTGCTCACTTTATTATGAAATATGAAATATATTCACTGTGTTCTAAGTTAATAATACTATTTGGAAATGCAAAGGGGGAAAGTTATGTTAGGCTGCTTTATAAAAAAGCAGCCTTCTTATTAGTACATGGTTGCATTAAAATAAAGACCACAGAGCTATACAAATTTGATCTTGTTTTGAAAACCCTTCCCAATAGGACATCCTTTAAATAGACCTTTTACGGCACCGTTTTTTAGGTTAATTTGAGGTTTGTGTGACAGTCAGATGAAAGTGACTCCAAAATATGAGTCATGGTAAAATCCCCTCAAGTGAAACAACTGTTAGGAAATAAAGAGACCAAGCCTTCAAACATTCATGTGACCCAACAAATCAAAAGAAATATGAAGCACTTGAGCAACCAATGCTGAGGATTTGTGTTTTCTCAGTAACAGAATCATTGCTTCCTGTAATGAATTTGCTCTTAGACATTATTCCCGAGATGATCGCCCATCAGTTATCATGTCAGATTTCAGAAATGTAATTGGGACATTTCATTCAATTTGGGATTTCTAACTCAATCCCAGCCTGAATTTGACCTTTAGACTGATACAATGGGTACATTTCCCCATTTGATGCAGTCTTCAGAGTGGCAGTTGGATTTACATCTGATGGAAGAAACGCTGAAGATTGAGGGAGTTGGGACAAAGAGAGAGAGAGAATATGACTTGACTATTTATCTGATGATGCCTTCTGAATGAATTAAACTCCGGTAAACAAAGCCAGATGTAGTGCAAAGTACAGATGAAAGATATGTTGATGGATCTTCTCAAGCAGGTTTAAATGTTTTATAGACGATTAAGACGTCACTGGACGCGGAAGTTGTAGTATCAGCGTTTGCCCACTACGAAAACTTGCTTCAATGTTCGATGCACTTTCTGGGGGCTTGGTCAAATGCCATTATCGAATGGTTAGCAGATGTTGGCAGATGTAAACATCTGTCTGGCTAACTTTTAATTAAGTACATACTTACTTTGTGTTTATTTCAATATTGAATCTGGATGAAAAATGTAGCAACAGACAGTTCTCTTCAGCACTACGGAACATTTAACCGTCTTTTAGGTAATTGTTGTATTTTTTAGACGATCAATCTTTTTGTTTTGTTGCACTTTCTCCGCTTTTATGAGGGTTTTATGTTGCTGTTGTTTTATGCCTTTTTATGCCTTTTATTCTACATTTTAGTTGTACTGTGAATTGTGTACTGTACTGTAAAGCACTTTGTACATTCGTGTTGAGAAGGGTGCTATATAAATAAAGTTTTACTTACTTACTTACTTAAAGGGGACCTATCATGCAAAATGCACTTTTGTACGTCTTTTATACATGAATATGTGTCCCCGGTGTTCCAGGGAACTCACCAAGTGTCAGAAAACACAACCCTCTCTATTTTCCTCCATACCCAAATCTCTAAAAACGGGGCTGCAACGGATCTGATAAAAACTGATCCAGATTTGAACACTGTCCTGACGTCAGGACGGTGGCGCTACGGCTATTGGGCCAACTCTCCACCTATCAGGGGAATGTGGGGTTGGGCCACGGCCGGCCATTGCCGCTCGAAAGCGCTGGAGACGCTGTAGTACATATGCCAGGCCTGTAAGTGGCGCTGTAGTCTGCCACAAAAGCAGCGAAGAAGACTTCCCGCGCATGGTTGCCATGGTTGCCCTTCTGTTTATTCTCCGCTGTGGCTCTTTTTCTCCCTCCCCGAGGCAAGCGTTTGCTCCCGCTGCTGTAATTCAATGCA